GCTACTAGGAACAAGGACGCTACTAGGTGGAGGCCATCGCTATTAGGGTGGAGGCCATCGCTACTAGGAGCAAGGACGCTACTAGGTGGAGGCCATCGCTATTAGGGTGGAGGCCATCGCTACGAGCAAGGACGCTATTAGGTGGAGGCCATCGCTATTAGGGTGGAGGCTAGGAGCAAGGACGCTACTAGGTGGAGGCCATTGGTGTTAGGGTGGAGGCCGTCGCTACTAGGAGCAAGGACGCTACTAGGTGGAGGCCATCGCTATTAGGGTGGAGGCCATCGCTACTAGGAGCAAGGCGCTACTAGGTGGAGGCCATCGCTACTAGGAGCAAGGACGCTACTAGGTGGAGGCCATCGCTGATCCATGCTGATCCACTCGTTGTTGGTGTGAAGCGATGTGACGCTGAATATGCATGGAACGCCGTTTTCATCCTGGTAAGTATGTGATTCTGTCACTAGAATTTATAAATATACAGCCATTTGCTTATTTCTCAGGAGAAATATTTGATCTTTTCCTGGAGAGAGAGGCGTGCAAGTTGGCGCGGGTGCCTGTTGTTTTGGCGGTGCATGCTCCAAGCGACATGTGCTCCTCCTTCAGAGATGCATGTTGGCCGCATAGATGTGACGGATTAGATGGAATCAGTTCTAGCAACCAGTAGCCACCATTCCAACTGAAGACCCATAGAGACCTGAATTCCTGAATTCAGGTTAGCGCAATTATCCAGAAGACACAAGAGACGGCCTGGGACACATGGGAGCGATCAACAGCAAAGCTGGTTCGAGTCCCTGATGGCATGGCCAATTCAGACCACCCTGGCAAGAAGAGGCTGGCGGAAAGAAACATAAATCTTGACATCGGTTGACATAGTTGAAATATTTGGAGCTCTCCTGGCTCTCCTGGCATCGCTACTAGGAGCAAGGGCGCTACTAGGGGCTCCTGGCATCGCTACTAGGAGCAAGGACGCTACTCGGGGCTCCTGGCATCGCTACTAGGAGCAAGGACGCTACTAGGGGCTC